AAAAATTCATCCCTGGTCCCCATGAGGGATAGGTCAAAAAATGAAGTCAGTCAAAACTCCGTTTTTATTGTTTATTCATTTGACATTTTATGTTCTACTAGCATTTTAGAAGCTCCGAACTTGCTTTCCATTGTCCAAGTGACTTTTTGATCTACCCTCAGGAGGACCAGGGCTGAATTTTTCGATGAAAAAAAAAGTTCGTGAAAAGATCCGAAACATACGTGATTCGACCCAGTTTTCGATGCTAATTCCGAGTATGTAAAAAAATCAATAGACTGCTGTAGCAGTTTTCAGAAATCTAGCGTGGTTTTCCAGAAATCCTCTAAAAAACCTATCTTCAAAATTTTTCTCAGAAAAGATTTTGCTTATGAAAATATGCTCCTGGGTTTTGACTACCAAACGCTGAAAACCGCAGGTCTCTATCTTGTTCCTATCAAAAGTTATTCAAAAAACATCCGACTGCCTTGAATTCTGGTGCCGATAGTAGTTAAAATCTATTAGGATACAATTGATTATATTTATTTGATTACAGTTAACAATTCAGTTCGTTTTCAAAGAATTGAAGAAAAGAATTTTTTATTTTCATGAATATTCTAAAATAAATTTTGTTTTGTTATTTATAAAACTTTAATTAATTATTTACAATTTTAAGCATAATTTATGGTTGTTTATGTAAATGAAAAATTTGTCAATTTTTAATTATTAAATTTTCTTATAGATAGCTATGGCAATGTTTCCATTTCTTGATACTCTTTTACATTTATATACAGATAAATATGAATATCCTAGAGAAAAATTGATCGTTTTAGCTCATTGGACTTTTTTAAGTAGATATTTGTTTTTTGGTTGTGAAGGATGATGAAGTAAAAAACAGTTTTTTTTTCAATTTCAGTTATTTTCGAGATGATTTGGTCATACAAACTGACCAATTTTTTGATAACAAATTTTTTTGTTATTCAGTTCAAGATAGAAAGTATCAGACATAACACATTATCTTCAATTCTTGTTTTTTTTTAATTTCTAGGATGAAAATAATCAATTACTTCTGCAAGTATCAATATAGAAATTCATAAGCACATTTTGAATATTCTCTTATGCAAGAAATGATGACATAGAACATCAAGAACAAAGAGAGGATAATCGAGTGCAATTTGATAGAAATTTCTAAAAATACATCAACCATAAATTAGAGGATATAACACTCAAACACACGCGATAATTAGTGTCATTATATTTTACAAACAGTTCCTTCCTTTTCTCATCCATCTTTGTCAAATGACAACAATAATTATATTAGCCCTGTACAATCTACTGCTGGTCGGCAGTATAAAATGCAACATTACATAATATTACGACAATAGTTATCCTGATTCATACAACAATTAAAAAATGCTACGATTTATTCTGTTAATTCTTATTTTCATCTTTACTATCGTCGACGGAAAACGCAAGTCAAATGAAACATTGCGAAAAACGGCTTCTCCATACACTGAATGTCTGGATAGATTCATTGGTCTGAAAGGTAAAGTATATGCAGAAGATATTTTACCTTGACATATTTCTTATATCGATGAAGAAATCAAAATACACAAATTGAATAATGTTGAAATAATTCTTGGATCAACAACTGATCCAAAATTACCCGAAAATACATTGGCTACTGTGATCATTTTAAATGCTTATTATAAATTCGAAAAACCGATTACTATGTTAACTAAAATTCGTCAAGTTATGAAAGTCGGCGCACGACTTAGCATTTTAGATCGAGATAACGATCAAATGCGAAATGATGCACGTGAAGCTTATACTGAAACAGAATATATATTACATTGTATCAAAGAAATATTAGCTGATAATTATTTGACAACTAATCATTATTTAGAATTGAATATTGTCGTACGAGAAGCGACCTTAATTGGATTTACATTTTTATTTTTGAGTGTTTGAAAGCCGCTTTTATTATACCTAAAGAATGTCACAAAAAGATAATCAAGAAAGATGAGTAGTATAATTATGCTAAATACTGTTATCATAAAGTTCTTAAGCAGAAACTGCTGCAAAGATATTCATTGATTTTCGCTACTATTTATTGAATGACAGTTCTTTTTTTCGAGAAGTCAAAAATTTATGAAAAAAAAGTCAGATAATAATACTCAATATAGTCAACTATAGTTTGAAGAGAGCAAATCATTCGGTAGTATCTTTATCGTTGAACAATATAATAACAAATTATCGTCGTCTCATAACTAATTCGATTTTGTTATTACGATCAATATATGTTGATCTTATTAAATATAATATAGTTCATCCATCTGAAACTGTTGTTACATTCTTGACATGAAGATAATTCATATCGCAAAAGAAGAACGATCTTCAAAGAAAATGCGTCGTCAATTTATACTCAACCAAACGTAACCTTTCAACCTGATGTACAAAAAAAGAGACTGCAGTCTTGTCTAGAGATAAGCAAACTCATGATTTTTTCTGCTGCAATTTCAAAGAGTGTTTTCAAAAACTTCCTTAGAACAACGAGTACTTCTTGAAAAAAATTTGGATATGCTAAAGGCATAAAAATCCTCAAAGTTCATAAATTTATTCGTCAATTATGCATTCAAAAAAACGACCTTTATACAATCAAAAATGATCATTTGTACAGTACGAAAGTTTCTGACTTTGGTGCCGATCTCGCCCATTTCTAGCCTTGTTCTCTTGTCTGTACTAATTAGGGATTGTTCCGATGATTACCATGCAACACCATAAAAAAAAACTCTGTTAGTTTGACACATGGGTTCTCTGCCATTGTCTTTAACCTTTTGGAATAATATTAAAAAACAAATCAAAAGTATTTGTCGTACACATGAAATGGTAGATTCTAATTTCGGACATGTTAACCGTAGAGAAGCTATGCTAATATGTGCTTCTGAATAATGTCAATTGATTCATCAGTTCTTTTTTGACGAACAAAAAAAATATGTCAAAATCACAAGAGTTTGTCGAAACACAAAAAAATAATTTATAGAGATTAAGTTATCTAAAGGAGGTGACTCTCGAGCAACTGACTTAAATGAGTATTAAAATACTCTTGATAAAATGTATCCATTTTCGATTCTATTCAATATGGTTCTTCTGTTTTGTATTTGAATCGCTTTCGCCATGGCGACTTCTGTTATACTAATAGCATAAATTAGTATTCGATCTCACTTGAGTAAAACTCGTATTTAAAGTATTATAAAAGTTAGGATGATCGTTTCAAAAATCAATTCTAATAAAATAGTTAATACTGGTATATAATAAGTAAGCGAGATCAAATATCGAATAATCCAATAGATGATAATAACATTAAGTATTGATAGACTTAAAACAAATAAAACAAGAAATAAAATGAATGTTTGTTTGAGAACAATCATATCTTGTTCATTACTAATTTATCTATATTGCTGAAGATAATATGTTCGACGAATATAACAAATAATAAACATATAGATCATCAATATGATAGTCATTGGAATAAAATAGGCAGACAGAGAAATATTCTAAAAATTTCGCAAGTATTTTTAAAAGAAATTTGACAATTGTATTCATTCAGTAAATATTCCATAAAATTTAAAAAACTATTGTGGAAAAAATGCCGAGAATCATTGAAGAATAATAATCGTAAACATGGTAGAATTTTTTGTCGATAGAAAATGAATAGAAATATAGTTTAAATAATATAGAGCACAGATTGAAAGACACGAAATATACTTAGAGCAATTCAAAAGTAGTGACCCCATTACTTTATTTCTATAAATAACGTTTGAAAATTTTTTCTTCTTGTATATAGTGATAGACAAAATGATGCTATATTTTTCTGTGCTATTTGGTCACTCTTCAACTAATATCATAATAATAAAATCTCGATAAGCACTTTTTTGGTGTAAAACTTGACTATAACATTAGATCATATTATTATCCGTGCGTATTTTCTTCTAATACCTAATCGTCTATTCATACATGTATATATATAAAGACATCTGGTTTGTTTGTTTTATGTGTATATATAGTTTATTCGTACATTTTCAAGGAAGTCAAAAAAATAAAGTTAGGTTAGACTTTAACACTGTTCAGCTGTTTCAGATGAATACGGGAAACTTTTACTTCTACCTTAAAGTGCATGCCGCACTTACCTTCTTATCAATGATGATCCTTATATTGCAATAGAAGAGATGCAAGAGAGAATTCGTCCAAGATAAGGTATCAAATGCTGCATAGATGGCAGGAGGAGACCCTTCACCTACAGTAGTTCGATGCAATAAGTTTGCTCCAAAAATCTTATTTTTCTTCTTTTTTAAGTCAACTATCGATCCTGGTATCAATCTTCACCACAATAATGGAAGATCACATATGCATAAAGACGTACGTATTACAGATCTTGTCGAATTTTTTTTATTGTGATCTAAGTTGAAGAATGATCCAATAGCACAGAACAATAGAACATCATTTTTTCTATGCCTATATACAAAAATAAAATTTCCTCAAGCTTTCCATACGAAAATAAAGTAATGGCATCATTAATTTTACATTGGTCTAAGTACTAAAATATTTCAAAGTCTTAGAAACTCATGCATCTATGATTATAGAAAAATCTTTATTTTTATGATCGATAATTTTGATTTTGTAATACACAAGCAAAAAACGATATTAAATAGTTGTTATTTCAATCAAACAACATATATATTTAAATAGATCATAAACATAACTTATTCGACAATATCGTAATATCATCGTTTTGATCTATTCATAAATTTACAGACAAAAGAAAAAAGAAGAAGTTTTTTTTTTTTTTTTCTAATCAGTAGATGCATCTAGTACTGAATCGTTGTGTCCAATATCCCAATAATGTTCAACACCATGACGACGAAAATGTTCTCGTGCAAAATTTTCTGTTGGACATGATTTAAATTTAATTTCACCAAATGAACGTTCTTTCACTGTACCCTAGAATATTATAAAAAATAAACTTATTAAAATAAGTAATAAATAAATTTGTTTATTTTTTTTACCTGCCAAAGAAGTACACATTTATTTTTTTCTTTATTTTGTTCATCATTTCCATCTACATTTAAAAAAATATATTAAATTAATTTAAAAGAGAAAAATAAAGAATATTTAACATACCATCTTCCATATGATTTTTACTTGATGAACTCCATTTTATTCGATGAAGCATTAAGCGACGAAATTTCTTTTGTTGTTTTGGTCCTAAAAAAATAATAAAATATAAAGAAAATGATTTTTTTTTGCTGTATACATGATTATACCTCCTTCAACTACAATTATATTTATATCTTTGCATAGAACAACGCAGCCAGTCATATGTAATTGTTTACAATTTGTTTCAATTTTAAATCGTTTAGCTGGATCATCTAAAAGTAGAACACGATAAACAGAAGCATGTACACCATTTGTTGTATCTTCTGTTGTTCGTTTAGTTTTTTTTTCACGTCGTTGTTCAGCCGATAATTTTCTTGCAGCATTGGTTTCTTCATGAGTTCTGAAATAGAATTAAAATAGAAATAAATGCTTTTTTTTTCAATTATAATAAATAAATTTACTTAATACGTTGCGCCATTTGATTTCGAACATATTGTTCGATTTTTGTTGGATCTTGAACTGCATCGGAACATAAGACACGCATTAAATTGGAAATTTTTACTAAAAAAGAAAAAAAGAAATATGTAATGGTGAGACGGAATTTCGCCAACGGAATTTCGACAGTGTCCATTTTCCAGTGTAATTTCAAAATTTTTCGAAATTCCACTGGCAATTCGACAATATTGTCGAATTTCCG